GTACTGTGCCATAAGAGGAAGCTCTTGGCAAAAAGTGACTTGCCTTATTGCAAAGGGAGGCATATGGGAACAGTCAGACTGTTTTTTGGAAACATTCTGCAAGGGAAATTTGAAAAATATATTTTTTTAAAACCCGTTTCATGAAAGAAAAAAAAAAAAGAGAGAAAAAATGGTTTAGGGTTTTTGAAAGAGAAATAGTGGGCAAGATACTTAATGAGCTCCATCTCACTGCCATAGGCAGTAAAGGGAACTGTGGGAAGATCATGTGCTCACACAGAAGCTTAAGGAGATAAAGGTGCACACATGGCCCTGGATACTACTTCAGTCTGTCATGTATAAGCCATGTGCACACTTCTACAATAGGATCCACACTGACATATCTAAGAAGGACTTTCTAGTCCACAATGGTGCTAACTGGATTCTTTGTTTATATACATAGCTTCACTCACAGAAAGAGAGTTGGCAAGTGATCCACGACTTATTAAAACCTCATTAAAAGGATAAAGTGAAATGCACTAAGATTAGAGAAAAAATCATTTTCAAAACTATACCTTTGCTGCTGAACTTTACAGGGGAGGAAATTAATACAGTTCAGCATCTTATATACCAGTGGATTCACGCATTGCAAAAAAATCCTATCTTTTATCTTAATCCATTACCTATATTCCAAGAACATTTCAGGAGATGTCAGCAATTAACATGAATAAAACATTGGCTTTTTCAGAGAAAGTGTCAGCACAAAAAGTTATGATGATAGCGAAAATATTATTGAAGGGCTCGATCTGTCACCCACTGAAGTCATTGAGAGTCTTTCCACTGACTTAACTGGGAACTGGATCAGGCCCAAAATGAAAGGATCAACAGCATGCCCATTACTATATAAATGCAACAATGCCCTCCTCCAAAAACAGAGCACAGGATTCAACCCAACCAACACATTATAGGAAGGAACAGATTGTAGATAACCTCTTCCCCTTTCCTGCAATAAATCAGTGACAAAATAGCCATTTAGGACACAAAAGGCCAGATTTTATTCCAACTATTGGGCATCTAAGTGTGATGCTATCCACCCTGTTCCCTGAAGCCTGTAAGCAGTCCTTGAAGCTATGTTGGTTGGGATGGCAACTAGGGCTCTGATACAACAGAGCTATCAGCAAAGCAATTTATGCCAGGATTGTTGCCACCAAAGTATGAATGCTGAGGTCTTACATACCAAGGACTTTGCCAGTGCCAAGCTGGTTAGTGTCTGGGCCAACTCTGCTGGTATTATCTTCACCTTCTTTTCACTACATCTATTTTTTCAATCCATCTACTTTTGTAACATAACATGATCTGATCCTTAGAGCTGCAAAAAACACGGAGAAGGAGAACCCACCCAACTTCTGTATTAACAGTTTTTAAGGAATTTGAGCAAGGTGGAAGAAAACCACAGTTAAATGCCTAAGTCCCATTATGTAACTAGCAGGTAGAACGGAATCTGGTCCTAAGGAGCCTGGTCTTATAAAGCACTGTGCAACCCTTAAATGCCCCTTACTTTGTAGCACTGTACAAGACTGAGCCTGGGGACCCCTCATTCCTACTTCTATCTTGATAAAGATATTGAATAAAGAAAGTTTATTTCTTTCACCAAAAGATAGCTATCTCAGTAGGAGGCAGCCAACATCAAGTAGAAGGAAGTCAATGAAAACTTAGGCTTCCAAATATATATTTAGGTTACTAGACCAGAGAGCCTGATTTTAAGATGCACTATCAGTTTGGTACATTCAAAAGGAGGCTGAGGCATTGAGGGTTACCCTCTGGAAAACCCCAATGGCTCAGAGGCAGCTTTCATCTCAAGTCACCATTCTTCTATACTGTTTGTTGCCTCGACAGACCCTTTATTTAATCCAGTCTGTGTATAAAGGGAGTGGCCCCATAAGCCAATCAACATGGAGAATTCATAACATATGACAGAGCAGTTCCATATCCATAATACCAGACCCTCCAAAAACTGAATTCTAGGCATAGCTGCATGTCTCTCAGCACCTTTGAAACATTCTCAATTTCTGAATGTTAGATGGGTTTTGGATGCTAAGTTAAATTTCCTCTATCCCCACAGGCATTTGAAAATAATGGCCAACTTTTTTTTTAAACGAATCTACATAGCTCTTCAGTACAATTACTATTATGAAAGGGTTTCTTTCAAAGGTAGACCATCACAGCAAGAAATTCAGGCTACTGCTCAGGAAGAAGGTGACAAAGAATCAGTGGGAATTGTTCAAAACAACCTTCCACAATATTTTTTGCAAAAGTCTTCATCCTGAATCTGCCCTGATGACTGACTGAACTTAATGGTAAAACTCCAGTGTAAGTCAAGGATAGCCCTAAAAATGCTAAAACCAACCATCATTTATTTTGTATGCTTTGTAACCATGAGAGATCAGCTACTTGCCTAAGTACATTTTCTAACCAGTACAGAAGAAATCAGCACAAAATACAGGACTACAAATTTCTTACTCTGCTACCATCATGCATATATTGCCTATGGCTCAGGCCCAAGACTCCTAATAACAGTTACATATTAACTTGTTATGTGGGTCTTACTGGTTGAATGTGTAGAGCCCACTGCAAAGAAGAAGATTTGGGGACTGAAAAGAAATAGAGAGGGATGGGAAAGATACAAAGTAATAAAGGGCACAC